GGTCCTCTTCCTAAGCCTTGACTCTACTGTACTTTTTTGTTCCTCTTCTGTAAAGTTTGTGTTGCGATAAAGTCATGCCATATCTCAGCGACTTCTGAAGTGTCATTTCTTCAGCGAGCAATTTGTTCGAGTGGGTGCAAACTGTCAAGGGAAGCGTGCGCTGCAGCGTTAACTACCAGCTGGTGGAGAGAGAGAGAGAGAGGATGAGTGTAACAGAGTAAAAAAGAGAGAGGGAAAGCATAATGAAGGGTCCTGCACTTCCTCAAAGAGAATCACCAGCCTTAGTCAATTTGGGTCTGTTTTAGCTGCTCTAACATACACAGACACATACACACACACACACACACACATAAAAACAGCACTACAGCAGGTTTTAAGTGTTAAGTGCTGACTGGGCTCATCCACACACTCACAGGTTTGACTTTCAGATTTAACAGGTTTAACACTTTCAGATATATCAATCAACTCTCCACAGTGCAAAAAAGGAATCTCAAGAGAGTGAAAAAGTTTTGTTTCTGAGAAATGAGTCTTTTTCTTTGTCTAAAAAGAAAAATAACTTGGAAGAAACGCTAAGTGGACTAATTTTGTCTTAATAAGCCATTCCAGCTAATATTGCTTGCTAATATTGAATTAGCTTGATTGAACCAGTAAAGAGTTACCACAAGGGTTTGCCTAATACTCAGCAGGGGAACAGATTATTTTCCTGATTTTAACAGTAATACCACTCGCACAACTTTCACTTTAAGAGGAAGTAGTCTGATCCCAGTGTTGGAAATGAAGCAGCTGGTTAGTTTTTCATTGTTTTAATAAAAACGCTTCTAGTGCCTCCATTTAAGATAAAGACACTGCTTTTTATTCTGCTGTTTGAAGAAATTGTGTCTAATTGTAAGATTTGTTTTTGCTAATTAATAATCTTAGAAGCTACACATTCTTAAATTTAACTCAATGAAGTGACCAAAATACAGATTTTAAGAAAGCCTATCTGAAATAACTGAATATTCATTGCTTCTAATGAGCACAACTTGCTTACATTTTTTAAATCTTTTCTAGTTTTAAGTCCCATTACAGTCTTTCAGTGTCTAGATTTTTTATGTTAGTTTTAAGAATTTTAGCTCAGCAAAATTGGCCCCCATCACTGCATTGGAAGATTTTTTGCTCAATACAGGAAAGTATGATTATATAGAGAATAATTGTGTTTTGTAACTGTCCCTGTTGCTTCCTCAGTCTTCATTCCATTTCTTGTTCCCTCATCTTCGTTTTCGCTCTCTCTGCCCTCTTCCTCCCCTGTTTCACTCCTCTAAACCCCTGTTCCCTCGTTCCTCCAGCCTTTTATCTGTGCCGCCCTCCCCGCTGTAGGGAAGCTGCATCAGACCTGTGCAGGTGGCTGATTGAGGTGTTTTACAATGGAGAATAAATCCTGCAGGGATGAGAGTGTGTGAGTGTGTGTATTTGTGTACAGTGGATAAAAAACTGCTGAGTGGCAGACACAGTTTGATTTCTGCCCACCCAGACTGATGCCCCATCACTAAAGCTTGTGGATATGAGGCTAATCATACAACCGCATGACGGATGGCCTCCTACTGTGGATACAGAGGAGGTGCTGCAATGTGTGTGTGTGTGTTTGTCACCTGAAGCAGTGTTGATGGTCCTGACAGCCTCCCTGGCACTGACTCTGTTGTTGGGGGGATAGTCAGGGACGGTGTTTTCATTGCGCCTCTCTGGCACCCGTGGGCTCACCTTGGCAGGTAGATGACTGAAAAACAGAGAGAGGGAAATGGAGAGAGAAGGGCAGGGGGAAGAAGAGAAATAGATAATGAAAAATGAAGATAGTGTGGGATTGTGGAAAGAGAAAGACTGGAGAACAGTCAGAACAATAAAATAATTTCGATTTTCTTGAAGAAAGGGTTGACAGGGGATAAGAGGAATAAGGGAAAAATAGAGTGGTGATAAACAAGATGACAACCTGTTTCTGTTTGTTTGTGTGTGTGTGTGTGTGTGTGTGTGCATGTGTATAAGCAACAGACATTTTCATCAGCAGAGATTTATGCTTTGAAACGTTGCCTGGTTACATTATGACCGCTGAGAAGTTTTACACATAATGCTGTGATACATATGGACGGTCATGAACACCGACACACACACACACACACACACACACAGCCTGACACACTAGTAACCTCATTGGCTCACCCTGATTGGCTGTGCTGCTCATCAATGGCATCCACGGCACTCTCCACAGAGCTCAGGAGAGACTGGATCTGATTGGCTGATTCCTTCAGGAGGAAACGGGTCACAAACTGCTCCACGTTGGTTCCTCGCTCATAAACCTGGGGGAAACAAAAGAAAAGCATGTTTGTGTATATCATTGATAAAACCTTGTACCATGGTCTGGGTGAATACTCGATTCTGATTGGCTGCTGGGTGTTTATTCATTAATTCCTGATGTAGGGCACCTACTAAATAGTTCCAGTGAAACTGTCATTTCACCGTAATATCCCATAAATACTATCTAATATCTCACAATACTGAGTGTAGCCCTTCAGTGTCTCATCCTCTCAACACCACAGCCCCTACACAGCCCCTCTGCACTCACTGATACTTTGTATAAGCGATCCTCCCACATCCCGTCCACTGTTCAGCTTGCTACTTCAGGCTGCAGCCGTCAGTACACATGCCCTATTGTTAGTGAAAATCTTGATATTGATTTCGGGACAATGTCATGGCTGATAGCTAGCTTGTCATGTTGTTAAAAATACTGTCAAATTTATTTATTATGGTCTTGCTAGCATAACATTAGCTCTTGTAGCTTAACTGAGCGTAGCTAGAAATATCTCCAGCTGCTTTACTGGAGTAGTGAACAACGTTTCCATTGCATTAGTAGTGGGATGATAATAATTATTCCAGGTATCAGTCAAACCCTCAGGTGTTACTATAGAAATAGTGAATGAAAATATAAATGAACACATATTTTTTTTCTTTGGCAAGTGACCATGATATAAGCAGGATAATGCCCTTTGAGGTGTCCGTTATCAGGAATTAATGGACGATGTGGAGTCCTGATGATGGACACCACGCCGGACATTATCCCGTACTTATTTGAAACTATAATTCTGTGATTCTAACAAAGGTTTTAACACCAAAATGTCCAAAAAACAGTCTCTAGAAGTTCATTTTGAATACAAAATGATAAAAGTAAAGTTGATCATGTCTTTAAACATCACAGCTCAGCCTCCTTGTTCCTCACTCTGTTCCATGTACTCCTCTGAACAGATATTTCAGCATGAATCCTTCCTTGCATCCATTTGACGGTTGAAGGGATTTTCAAGGTGGACAGGCAGCATAGTACCTTCCACTCTCTCTGATACCATCATGCCTCTCTCCTTTTCCTCACTCCCTTCCATCACTTCCTCCTCTCTCCCTCCAATTCTCCAGTTAGGACTTTGGGGCTCAAAGTTTGTTTCAGGCCTGATGTAAAGCTTAAAAACCTTTTAGCCTGAGTATAAAACCCTGTCCGTGGGGGGTTAAAAGTGCTGTTTTGGGGTTTTACTGCATATTGTTTCGGATTCAGCAGGAATAACTCAAGGCCAGTCCAAAATGTTATCCACCTTCTCTTATTAGACACAACAGCATTATGGCAAAAAAGCCTTCTGATTAAATATATTATTATTATAATATTAAATACTGATTCACATGGACAAACTAAGCTTGATAGCATAACATAACATAACATTCAACTCAAAATGTATTGCTCCATAAGTAATTCATAATTTTTATAGACATGCTTTAAATTGTCACAAATGCTGCAGTGAAACCTTGAGGAAAAATCCTTCTAGACACACAATGTACTAGTCGATGTGTCTCTTCTTTAAAGAGAGGGATGAAAAAGAAAGGGAACATCCAGCATCAAATCGAGTCCCTGAACTGCACTTCTGACGGTGTGAACATGGTGAACTGTCAGAGGAGCTGACGGTTTCAGATAAGACTGCAGTTCCTGCTTTAACTCTAATGACCTTATCACTGCCACCTTTTAATTATTTAGGGACTTGACTGTTCGCTTAAAAACACCTCCCCCGAACATCGACTGTCCAATCATAGCTTAGCAACCATAACTGGGCACAGCAGGCCTTTCCTAGCTTTGGATTTCTCCTCAGCACAAGGCAGTAGAAAGCACAATTCTTTGGTCCAGTATGTAACATTTAGGAGGATCTACTGTCAGAAATGGTATATAACAGCCACATGTATGTTTCCATTAGTGTATAATCACCTGAATATAGGAATCGTGCTTTCTTTAACTTAGAATGAGCAGTTTATATTGCGCGGGTCGCTTTCCAGTACAGTACAGTAGTCCAGAAAGGAAAAACGCCTACTTGGATGGGAAGGGTGAACACAAGAGCAAAATGACAAAGAATGTATTAAACAATGTGTTTGAGTGCTCTAATATAAGCAGCAATTGTTAGCATGTCCAGCTAACTAGCTTACTGCAAACTCTAGTAACTTAGCGTTTCTTCCAAGTCCAAGAGTTAGCAATTAAAGCTGGGGGGATTTTATTTTTTTGCATCATTGGGCAAAAAACATCCTTTCCATGTTGTAATTCAAGTGATCTGAGTCAAAACTAGACTTCTTTACCTCCTCTTGGCTCTGTTCTCAGGCCTTAGAAAACCTAGCCCATGACGGAAGGCTTTGGCCAATCACAGGTCATTTCAGGTGTGTATAAATGCAGATCCGCATGCAAGAGTGCAGCTGGTGAAAGCCTAATTCAGTGGTGGAAAATCCTGCAACTTGTGATTCCCAGTAAGTCCTTTGCCTACAAAGTTATACAGTAGCCTACACAATGTGTGTGAAAACATCCAGCTCAACACGGAGCTTCAAGCTGATTATGTTTGATGCCATTGCGCTCAGATCGGCGAAAGGCAAAGAGGCATGATGACAATCAGTGGGGAATAACTTTTGACTGGGACATTGTGTGGTGTACTATCCATGCAGCTTTTCACTGACACAAAGCTCAGCATGCTCAATTTCATTTTCCTTGTTATTTGCGGTCGCTGTGACAGTTATAATCTCCTTTGTTTCTTGGCCCTGAGGCAGTTGCCTCTGAAGCCTGGGGCCCTCTGCATTCTGGCTGTGGAGCGCTGGAGGGGCGTCTTTGAGAAGACAAGCGGCCATCGTGGGAAGAGGGACCGGGGTCTTTGCGAGGCTCACGTCGCGGATAGAAAGCCCTGTGAGACATGAGGTTTCGCAGGGCAACCCTTTCTGCCCTGCTGTGGGTTTGGTGTGAGGGGCTTAGCGGAGTGATACACAGTAGCAAAAGTTCACAACTAGCACATCTCCCTACTGCCTGTCCTGTATACTATTGATTTGGGGAATATTAAAGTTCAGCAATACATGTCAGTGTTACCTGTAACTGTCTTAACACATTAGCTAGTCTGTACTTTGTTTCTTCTTTAATATGAGTCAACATTTAAATTTTGGCCTTCTCACAAAGCTTTGGCTGAGTTAGCTAGCTACAGGTCATAAAATCTGATAGCGACAGTAGCCATTTTATCCCAAAAATACAGTCACTGTCTATAAATGAGAATCATTCTTAATCTGAAATCAAGGATCAATTCCTTAGAAACTTTGGACGAATTTCAAGTGGTAAATCTGCAGTGTGGAAACAAAGCCAGGTATAGCAAGAGTTGAAAGGCTAGTACATTAAATGGAATGGAGTCTTGTTTACCCTACTATTTCATGTCAAAATGCCTGCTGTGAAAAAGGTCTATTGACAATTCAAAGAAAGTAAACCTGCAACTTGTACATTCTGCTCATGTTTAAGGCTAAAAAAAAACTGTCCCAATAACACATGAAAACCTCACTATCAAACGGCAGGCCATAATTGACAACACACACTCCAGAGAGCGGAGTCAGTCGGTCATGTCAGCTTTACTGTCAGAAGTCACAGTGCAGTGATTCAGGGAGACAATTAAGGTTCCTGTGCAGTCAGCCATTCTCTGCTGCGCTCTAATCAAAGACAAACGCTCCCATGAGACGCAGAATCACACAGGCCGTATTGACTTCCATTATTACACTCAATGGCTTTTACTCACGTACACACACACAAAATGCATGCTTGACCGTGCAAACGCACAGACTTAAAGGAAGCTCATCTGCATCGGCTCATGTGTGGAATAATCCAGTCGGCTTGTTCTGGTTTTCAATAGCATAAAACACACATCTATCTGTAATGCAGGCAACAGAAATCACTATAATAACATCATTTAGACTCATGGTAGGCCTACCATTTTTGTTCGCCATTTTACACAAGAGGCACTGATGACTCACTAATGGCTACCATGCTGAGATTCAATTACCAATGTGGGATACACGTCTGAATAAACACAAATAGGAACTTTGGCAGTTTTCTCCAAGAGATTATGATGCATTATGAGTCCATTAAGAGTACTTAGTCATTAAATAAGAAAACGCTGATAGATTCATGATACAGCATCCCATTTATTTGCCATTTTGAGCATATGTTTTCTCCATTTAAGCGGGTTCAGCACTAACATTTATATGAATTGACACAATGAAACATACATTAAGGTCTACCCGAGTAGTGTTTGTAGAGTTTGTTTTATTTTGCACAGACTGAATGCTGGCTGTAGGAACCTGCACTGATCTGACTCACCACAACTCACTCGTTTCAGTCTCCCCTTCCATGCACGAGGGAGCAAGTATGGTGTCAACAAATCATGCAAAAAATGGTCCTATCTCGAACCAGTGTCAGGGCATCCATGGAAGGCGACCCATGGCGTATGTATGATAATGTGTATGTATGATTGCTAACCATAATTGTTGACCGCTTGACTGCTTATGTACCTGAAATCAGATCAAATTAGACAGCTCATATAACATTAGATTGGATTTTATTATAATATATATTATATTATTTTAATAATCACTGGGCAATGGTGTCACTGGAATGAATGTAGTAGTCAGACTGTAGGCATAAAAATGATTGTAGTCTCCATGATGTCGCCCATAGATTTCTGAGTCTGACTGTCACCATCTTGGCAGTCCTGACTCTGCCATCTCCTGGTTAATTAAAAAATGGGCAAAGATGTGGAGCGTGGGTGGCCCACCTGTCACTCAAAGTGGCGCACTGTGTCTTAATAAATAGCCTAATTCTCCAAGTTCAATATACTCTCAACGGCGAGTTACGGTATCACCAAATTCCCCCCCCCCCCCAGTACGGTTTCATGCACGGGGAAATGAGCTAGAGACCAAAAGTTGAGCATTTTAACATGGGGCCTTATCGAGATTCACTCGCTTTTGCAGTCAGCCTCAAGTG